GCCGCTGCTCCCACCACGCCGCGGGGGCCTGGTTCTGGATATAAGAGGTTGAGGGTTTAGGGTTTATAGGGTTTAGGGTTTAGGGTTTAGGGTTTAAGGTTTAGGGTTTAGGGTTTAGGGTTTTTTGATCTACGTTAGGGTGTTTTTTTGATCTAATGTAGGGGTCTTAATAGTTAGGGTTTATCGTTTTGGGGGTTCCTTGTTATAATTCGAGTAGAATGTACCCCAAACCCTATTCTAATTATCAAGGCCCCTATATAACGTTAGGCAGACTTTCCAGCCGCTCTCGCTTTTGGTGGGCTCGTAGAGGTGTACAAGCAAACGAAGCAGGGTTTAGGGTTTTAGGGTTTAGGGTTTTAGGGTTTCCCCTAAACCCTAAGCCCTAAACCCGAGGTGTGGGATTTCGGCTTCGATATGCTTGACAGATCACTCGGGCAAGCTCTGCACGAACTCTAGCCCTCTCGGGAGCAGCCGTGCTTTTAGGAACTTCAACTCAGCCTCGACAAGCCCTTTCGAAGCATGACAGAAGCTACCATGAAGGGAACGGAAAAATAATTCTAATAAGGCGCCCCCCAAACAGTATTGGTAATTATTAAGCCCCCTATATGGGGTCATGAGAAGCATAGCCAAGACCAACAACAACAACCGCAATAAAAGTCATGCTACAGTTCATACTAGCCATGATATGGTTGATAAGGAGCGTCAGAATACCCACAGTTGCAAAAGTAGCAACCGTAACACCCATCCCAAAACATGTATACCTTCATCACACTAGTGCTAATCATATCAATAGCCTCTTCGGGTTCGCATGACCCTAAACCACAAAACCGAACCCCTCAACTCCTCAAGCCTGTGCACCCTAGAACCCCTCATAAGACCCCTCTGAAGGCTCATCTGAGACCTAAACCCCTAAACCCTAAACCCTTAAACCCCTAAACCCCTAAAACCCTAAACCCTAAACCCCTAAACCCGAAACCCTTAAACCCCTAAACCCCTCAAACCCTAAACCCTAAACCCTAAACCCCTAAACCCTAAACCCCCCATCTAAGGTCCCTTTCTGCATCCATTGAAGCACCCTGCAGCGCCTTGTAGAAGGGCCGGTCGGGCACCGCGGAGCCTCTACTTGGAGGTTCATGGGTAGTTATAAGTGGAGTTATAAGTAGGGTAGCCATAGT